AACTAATGGAGCACTAAATTTAAACCAATACATTCATTAAAAGTAAAACTATTTACCTTTTACTTACCATTGGAAAATTTATGAAAATAAATTATAGAAGCAATAATATTATACAGATCACAACTTCATGTATGATCAGAAACATAGAACAGATCATAAATTTACATTTATTAACAATAAACTAAATCATAACCGTTTCTCGTTTCACCAGCCTACTAGTATCTATGGGGATCTATAGGGGTGCCCCCGCTACACGTGAATCCTTTCCCTTAACAATTTTAATTACAGAGCCGTCCCCCATACCCCATCTAGTATGAGCACCAAGACATTTAAACCTTAATGCACCGTTCGGTATGAGGGTGAAGTGGTCGTCTCCATACCCCGTCCGGTATGGGCGTCAAATTACCAAGTCTTCATACCCCATCTGGTATGAGACAACATTCACGGTAGGAGTCTCTATGAACTCGATCCATCCACCATCTCCCAAGATATCTAGTGAGGCTGTCATCTTATCTATTTATTAGATCACACCCCTTTCCTGTTTTTCCTTAGTCTCTGTTACCAAATCAGACATAAATACATAAACAAGTAAACATGCATCCGATAATGCAATCATATCTTAGAGCCCAAAATTAAATAGTGGTCAAGTAAGGCAGTAATACATGAATTTAAACCATACAATATATTAACCAGATACCATCATGCTTTTAAACTGTAAAATAAATCAACAGAAAATAATGTCCGATTTGGGCTCCATAAATCACTACATGTTTGGCTTTTCTTGAACGAATTTCAGGATCTGCTGTCACGTTTTCTTCATTTTCCCCCTCCAGTTGTTCTAAATCGTCGATTAATTTGTATGACCAACGAGGAAATTTTTTACTGATTTCTTTTATTCCAACAAAATTCATTTGATCATTGGGATTAATTAAAACCACATCGAATAAAAAGAATATAAATTGAATTTTATTTTTTCGATTTTTTGAAATAGCAATCCGTAATTAATTAAGCACATCTATTTAATTTGTACAAAAGACCGTATTATTATTTGTTTAAACTTTAATTTTATGATAGGGAATAGGGTGAGGAGTACTTACTTGATTTGACGTCGAAAAGCTAAATGGTTTACTGCGCCTATGGGAGGTCCCTAGGTTCTCTGAATTTTTCTTCGGGGACTGAAACGCGCTTACGGTACCTACAAATATCTCAAATAACCCAAAAATCAGTCTTAGTGCCTACTCGGCCAATTTCAGAAATCTGGCATGGCGGCTCTACCGTGCTCCGGCGACGGCACCGCTGCAAGCAGCGGTGATCCGTCTCGGGTTGGCTTTTTTAGCCGTTTTCGGTCGAATTCAGCCAAATTTGCATCAGTTCCTGTGAGAAAACACACTTAAGGCCCTCGGTTTGCCGAAAAAATGAAAAAAACCGAAACTCATCGGCGGCGGGGCTCTTAGGTGCGGCGGCTCCTCCGGCTCACACTGCAGTTAGGTATTTTGCTCCGGTCAACCTGTAGAAAAGAAAATGGTGATCATAATGGTGGAAAAATCACATAGAACAGGAATTGGGAAGGGCCTCATTGAAGGCGTTTTCTGAAATACACTGCGGCAGTGGCGCCGGGCTTTATCAGCATTTTCTGGCCAATCAGCCGGTCCTTTTGCTCTAATTTGATCATGGATGTGTTTAAAATTAAATTCTGAGCAAAGGGTGAAATTTTCACCTCTTTTGGCGGTTGAAAATTGCTCCAGTGCGGCGACGGGTGGCGAAGGTCGGCTCCCCGGCAGTTGGGCTGTCTTCTCCGGCAAGGGGTTCTGGCGACGAGGGTTACGGTTTGGGTGCGGATAGGGTTATTTACACTCATCCGTTTTTGATCTGGACCGTCCATCGCTTCTGATCTGGACCGTCTAATTACGATTAAATAGAGAGTGAATCTGGACCGTTCATCGCGATTCAATCTGGGCTGTCCATGCACGATTTCAATCTGAGCCGTCTGTGCAGGCGGGAACGGACCTTAGCTGTTCGATCGTGTGCACGCGGATTGCCCAGGTGACTCCCCCTTGCGTTACCTCCCGCGTCAGCGCCTTTGCCACTTGGCGCGTCCTTGTTGGTTGGGATTGCTGATTGGGCATCTGACGTGGTGCAATTTTTTTAAATTGCGTTTTGACTCCCGATTTTTTATTTTTCTTTCAAAAATACTTTTAAAATCCAAATTTTCATCCATTTTTTCCAAAATTGTTTCCAATTTAATCCTTAACAAAATTTTACTCATTTTTAATTAAATTAAAATCAATTAAATTAAAATAAATTAAATAAATAAATAACTATATAAAAATAATAATAAAAATAAAATAAAAGAAATTATTGGGTGTTACATGTTGCTGAAAGAACAAACAAAACTGTTCTAGAGAAGGTGAGATGCATTCTGAAAATGACTAATCTACTAAAGCCATTATGAGGTGAAACACTTTACATCTCTTGCTACCTAATGAATCACTCTCTGTTAGTTTCTTTGTACTTTGAAATTCTTGAGATAATATGATATGGGAAGGATAATAGCTATTCTCACCTGAAGGAATTTGGGTGCAAGGCATTTGTGCATATGTTTGAGGAACAGAGACATAAATTGGATGACAGAACTATTACATGTATTCTTCTAGGTTATAAAGATACAGAGTTTGAATACAAATTATGAGATCTAGTGAAAAAGAAAGTCATTAGGTTAAGAAATGTGACATTTGATAAATACAAGACTCTGTTGGACTTTGAGATATTAGAAAAAAAACTACAAAAGGTGAAGACATTCATCTTCCTGTATTGATTTCTCTTTTAATCAAAGATGCCACGAGTGAAGGAGATGAGACTGATGATGTAAAAACACTAATAAATGTTAGTGATGATGTTGAACAGGAGGAACAACCCTTTTTACCTTAAATTGAAAAAGAACTTTATGTTAGAAGGTAAAAAATAATACGTCATCCATCTATTAGATATCCTAGTTCTGAATATGTCATGATTACTGAAGAAGGGGAGCTAGGGAGTCTCCAAGAAATTCATAATCATAAAGAAGAAACTCAGTGGATAAAAATAATAAAAGATGAGATGAGTTCTTTGAAAAAGATTCATGTTTATGAGAATACAATTGACTTATTGACTAAGATGGTGATTCATGACAAGCATTAGTCTTGCACCAAAACAGTGAAACTAAGTGATAATTGAGTAATGAATATGCAGACATTCCTTCATGGGCAAGAGGGAGAAATTATTAGTTACAACCTATCAACATAAAAAAGAAGATAGAGTAAGCCATACACATAACTAAAAAAGATTTTTTTATGATCTCTTATAGATCTTCAGCAGTATGATAAAAATCAATTCACAAGATTTTTTGAAGATTTTTCGAGCGAGAATATTGATCTTCATAACTTCCTTCACCTATAAAAGGAGAAGTCTAGAACAAAGTAGTGCAAGCCGAAAGGAGAAGAAAATGGAAAAAAAAAAAAAAAAGAGACAAGTGTGTGCATGAAAGAAGTGAGAAGAAAGAAAAAGAAGAGAGAGAAAAGAGAGAGATTTCAACAAACAAATATATATATAAATACATATATATATATAGATACACATACACGCACATATATATGTCAAGATTGATGGCCACATCTTGGAAAGAAAAACATGGGGCCACCATTCTTCTTAATATTTTATTTTATCTCTCTCATCATCATCATCACAACCCATGCCATTTATTTTTTCATTTGATTTCCTCTCTTACATACATAAGAAGGAGAAAATTTTAATTATTATTTTTTTTCTTTTTTATTTTATTTTAAATTACTTTATACTCGTTTTCAAATATAGTAAATTTGATTGGAAGTTTATACCCTAATTTTTATCTTTATATTGAAGAGTTTTACATGTAAAATCCCTAATTCATTTTTTTTTTGTAGTTATTTTCTTTACTAATTATTATTATTATTTTTTTTAATAATTATTTTAATTTATACAATTAATTTTTTTTTTTAGTTGGGATTAGACAAATATATATATATATATATATATGTACTGTATTTTTCTTCTTGCATAATAATGAAGTAGTATTAGAGTATTAATTACTTGTAACTATTGAGTTCATAAATTATTTATCTTTTTAGATTCTGAATGTGTTTTGTAGGAATTTTGAGGCATAATTGTTAGAGATTATTCATGATCTTTGGTTTATTTAAATAATAGTCTTGTGATTAAAATTTTAGTTATAGTTAGAAATATAACTAAATTTTGAAATAAAAACTTATTAATCTTGATGAAAAAAATTAAAAAGTTTTAAAAAAATAAGAGTTTATATGATTATCGTGGATTATTTATTTTGTAAATGTATAATTTTTTTAAATTAGTTTATGAGATTTTTTCGCAAATAAATAACAAATAAAACGTATATAAAACTCGAGTTTTGGGAATTGCACAAATAGTGCATGAGTTAAATACCTATAGAAGTTATGACTGGATTAGTGTTGATTCCTGAGTTTATTGAAAACTCTAAAATTATAAATATATTTTGTCATTAATGAAATCAAGATAATTGTACTAAATGGAGTTACTATTAATGTTTATCTTTAAAATTTTCTTTTATCTTCTACAAATAGCAATGTAATCGAAGGAAAGATATCGAAGTCATTTGAGGAAATTTTCATATTGAAAATCAGCATTTCTGTAGCTACCAAACTACAGTGCCATTTTGTTTTACACAAGAAGATGCTTCAAACCCATGATCATCAATCTTCAGTCATTCTTCCCTATCTACAACATAATCAAGTAATGATATATATATACACATACATACATATGTATATATCAAAGTAAGTGTGTCCTATGGGTTTGAAAATTAGAATTTGAAAGGCAAACTTTCTGATTTTCTCACCCTTTTTTTTTTTTGTTTTTCCATTTCTCTTCCTATTTGATTCTTGTTGTCCATGCAGCACTCTGCGTGTCTTTCTACCTTCCTAAACTCCTTGTTAATGGCGCGCAGTTGGACTCCGTAGACCTCCCAAGTTCTCCAAATATGAGACTTTCTTATTGGTAACAACATTTGTAATTTTGTTCATGAATTTTCCATCTGCATCTTTGAGTAATTCGTCTGCAATCTCCTTCTTCAACTCGGGATTGGCTTGATCCAAATCCCAACCCATGAAATCGGAGAGTGTCATCGATGTAGGCGTCTCCGAGGAGTTATCTTCTCTTGACTTTTCATGGGGTGGAGTTGTGGGTGGTGGAGTTTCTCTCAAAGGACTTCTCTTAGACGAAACTTGAGAAGGGTTTTGACTTGCATAATCAGCATGCAATACATCTTCTATTCTGGACAATACTGTAAATGCCAGGCTTTCTAGAATTCTGGAATAGCTCTCAAGAATAGCCTGCCCCACATCCTGCAATATGTTATCATTTGTTAAATTGTTTTTTTATAAAAAAAATTATTTTATGAGATAAAATATTATTTTTATTTTGGTTAGATTAAAGAATGTATTGGAAGGTTGGTTTAAACTTTTTCATAATTAAAAAAAAATAACTTAAAAAAAAACGAAGTGATTTAGAAAAATCTTTTTTCGTCAATAACCTCAAACCAATCAATCGAATATTTGATTGATATGTAATTTGATCAAACAGTATTTAAAAACTATTCTTCTTTTTAAAAAGAAAATATTTTAAATATTCCTAAAAATTCTTGCTCCCGTTAAACCACTATACAGTAGAATTCCGATTTATGGATTTCGTGAGCAAGAAAAATAATTAAAGAGAAAACATAGATTAAACTCCAAAAAATTTAACGATCTTTGTGTATGTCAAAACTAGTAAAATTTGTAACTTTCTTTTTAAAAAAATTTAGATAATCTGACATGCATCTTACACAAAAAATTTTAAATTCAAAATATCATCATTTTTAAATTAACAGTGTTTTATTGCCTCAAATGCATGCATGGATTTAGGGAAGGAAAAAGTTTTGAGTACCCGGTTGTATTGGATTTTGCTAATGTCTAGAGCAGATTGAGGAATTCCAGGGAATCTTTGTTTGAGAATGAGTAAAATGGTTTCTGCTCTTTCTTCGAATAATTCTCTCTTCTCCAAGCTAACAGCTGATCCCCAAGCAGATTTTCCATCTTTCTGGTTCATCTTTCTCTTCCAAATCACTATGGAAGCTTCAATTCTGTTCTTTAAATCAAGAATCTTGTGCTCAGATGATAAATCCATCATCGACAGAAACTGGTCCGGATCGAAGAATTCTACCGTTATACTTCTGTATATATTGTCTCCAAGACTTGCTCTCCCATTCTGATCATACACCATAGCCAAAACTCAATCCCATCACCTCAATGTAATTAATCCTTGTAACAACTTATTAAAAAGAAAAACAAGATTTACCTTAGGAAGAGATTCAATGTAGTTTTCTGGGATTTCCATTTCTGATAAAACTTGAGCATTTATTGCCATGGCTGCTTTAAGCACCTGGTTCACACAATCTTTCTGGTACTGCAAAAATTTTCTAGCAGAATCTGATAAACCATTTTCAGGCACTTTGGCTGTAGGCAGCCACCATTTATCATCTTTTCTCTTTGCATTTCCTTTCTCTGAATCTGGGGCATCTCTTGACACATAATAAAACTCGTTTTGGTCCTTAAAGTTGTCTAAGCAGTCCTGCAAATAAAAGAAGAAGAGCTGTAAGATCACATAATAAAGATATTTACATATATATATATATATATTACATTGAAAAAAATGATCGAAAGGGTTCAATTTCTCACAATAAGCATTGCATCAAGCTTCCTCAGTGCTGGGATATTCATGTGAAGATCAGTTCTTTGACATGTCACCATTATCTGATTAATCAAAGATTAACACATGCAGTATTTAATTAATTAGATGAAATTCCAAAAGCTTTGCTTGTATGTGTATACATATGATGAAGATGGGTAAAAAATCCATGTTTGTTTATATATTATACCTCCATATTGGTTCCATCCTTGTTTTTCTGTTGTGAAGGAACAAATTCAACAATGTAATCCGTGACGGACAAGAGCCAGTCTATTTCCCTTCTCCACCTTGCTTTTCTCTCTGCTGACATTGGCTCCAGACGCCATTGTTCGCCGAAGACAGAAGCTGCATATATTATTACATGAAATTAAATTTACAGGTTTAGAAAATATTCTTGCAAAGGTTTTCTTTAATGGCATGTTTTACTCAAAATACCTGCAAGATTTGTAATGGCATTTGAGAGTGCTAAAGCCGACGAAACACCCTTTCCTCCACCGGACATATCCTCGCCCAAAAGCAGTTTACCAAACCTTTCCTTCAACTGTTCTAAATCTGGAAAAGATACAGACATATAGATATAGATATATTAAGCTGTTGAGAGAGATGAAATGTGTAATTAATGATATATAAAATATGTATGGACATGCCTGCTTGTAGCTGTTTTTCTCTGGCTTGAGAGGCTTGCAGAGCAGCTTCATCCTTTCCCAATCTTGATTTAAGAGGCTGATTATTAGATCCCTGACTTCTAAACATCATGTCATCATTCAAAGATGACTCTTCTAATTTAGCAGCACTTTCAACGCTCAAACTCTTTGCATGTCTTGATGCATTCTCATGCATCCCTTTGAAATGAAACAGTCTAGACCTATAACTTTCTTGTTCTTGTTCCAAAGCGCGAACCATTGTATGTCGAATTCGGAGCAAGAGAAGGGGGTGGAAGAGGGGAAAAAGCGAAATAAAAGAAAAGAGGAGGAGAAACCCAACTTCCAAAATGATTTGTAGGATGAGGATTTTTAGTTACTCTACAAATTGGTTTTGTTCTAATTTGTGTTCATTATTTTTTTATTTTTGGGTGTATGTTGGGGGAACGTGGGGTGCATGTTATACAAATGAGCTGTATATAATTAAAAGAATTGTTTTTTTCTGTTTTCTAACCCTCTTTTATAAGCAATTAAGAATTGGATGGTTGGTTTTTAATTTCACTAGTCAAACTTACCAAGAAACAAGGTAAAAGCCAGATCACCCTCCATAATTGTCAATGGACAGCTTTACTAATTACATGAACATGTAAAACAAGTTTTAATTATAAATACTATAGTTTTCTCCATGTCAATCCCTCTCCAATCCGTTTATTTCTCTAATTTCTACTATTATTTGTTCTAAAATTCTCAATTTAGTAATTAGAATTAATGATACTAAACTCACTTGTTAGCATATTTTACTCAATTTAATTAAAAGTTCAAATATCAAGTTAATTTTTTCATAATATGATAAATTGAATTTGGACAAAACTAAATTCAAGAATCTTAAATTCAACTTGAAGTTCTCTCGGAGTTACCTACCAATATTTAATCTGAGTAACATTTAAATTTAATTGTTGAATTTGTCGTTTAATTCATCATTCGCATCTTCTTATATACTCAAATTTTATTAATTAATGAAATATTTTGAAATATTACGTTCTCAATGATGATTATAGTGGAACTACGACATGGTTGAGAGTCTTAGTAACACTCAAAGTTTCATTCTACTATTGCAATCTCGATCTCCCCACTCCCATTATGTGTACTTCTTGATTCCAAACAACAAAAAATTATTTGTTCCTTTACTAATGATGAAAGACATTTGTTATATATTAGATAATAATTCTAAAATTATAATTAATATCGACACTACTAGAAGTGTTAGAATAATTGAACTCGTTGTTGACCCTTCAAGTTCTCTGTCTTCGACTTAAAAGTCAAGATATACCAGCTCAATCTAATTAAGCTTTGACATAGTAAAACATTAAGGAATATAATTATATCCTTTTTACACGTTTTGTCAAAATTGATGTAGTTGTAATTAACAAGCGACACCTTATATCCGTAAAACCATAAGGAACCCTATGAAACCTCAATGTTAGCATCTTCTCAAAAACCCACAAAAAGAATAATTTATTTACATATTTTAAAGATTGTGATGGTATTAAAATTGAGTATACTTTAATGAAATTTAGCATCAAACTTTTAAAAATATATTTAAATAACTTTACAACCAAACTTTGATAATGTTTGTTATAACACTTTGGAACATAATTTTAGAATTTTTTATTTGTTTATAAAATGAACAATTAATTGAACTTTTACGAAATCTTTGTTTTAAAATTTCTTCGACAAGTGATGTTTGGACCTTTGGATATGGAGCTATTTATGCTTGTTAAGGCATTAGATGGATGATTAAATTTAGTTTATGGAGAAGATTTTTTAACATATTAATATTGTTGTAAATATTTTAGAAAATATTGAGAGTTTGACATTATCGTGAAAGCTTTTTTTAGTTATTTTGGATCATATAAATAATAATTTTTTTGTCTAAATTTTAAAACCTTTATCGCCCCAATAATTTTTAAAAAATGAATGAAAAGAACTTTTTCTCTTAAAGTAGATATTACGAATAGAAACATATTTAAGAATTTGAAGTATGATCAAGAAGAAAAAGATGAACGTCTGCTCTTGATTTCTCAATAAATCTTGTCGAAAAATTCAAAAAAAATTGTAAGGTATTCTCTCATTCAAAACAAATATGCAAGAATCTCTTATAAAGATTTCAAACTTACTCAAGGGAAAGGATCATTATTGTTCTTGATTTCTCAATAAACCTTGTCAAGAAAATCCAAAGAATTTCTTAAGATAATCTACAGAATCTCTCTTTTAGAGCAAATATACAATAAGCATTTATAAAGATTTCAAATTTACTCAAGGGAAATGATTATTTTTGTTCTTGATTTCTTAAAAGATCATGTCAGAAAATAATTAGTAAACAAACAATATAAAAACTCAAAGAATTTTAAGAAAATTAGCTCAATGTATCTGTAACACCCACAAAAAAAAAATAAATAAAATTTGTGTGTAATTAAATAATTAATAAATATAATTTTTTATTAATTTAATTTATTTTGTTGTATTTTATTTTATTTTATTTAGGGTAAAAATGAAGTAAAAATTGAATGAGAATGAAATTGGAAACAATTTTGAGAAAAATGGGTGAAAATTTAGTTCTGAAGATATTTTTGAAAAAAAAAATCAGAAACCAGAGATCAAATACATTTTAGAGAGTTCTACCACGTGTGATGCCCGGTCAGC